TGCAGGCGGCGGGACAAGGGCCGGACGTCCACGGAGAGGTGGTGGTGCTCAAAGAGCAAGTCCAGGTGGAAGGTCAGCACCGAGAGGGGCTGGATGAGCAGCAGGAGCTCGTCAGCAAGGTGGGGCAGAGGGCCTTGGCTCAGGGCAAAGAAGGCCGTGGGGGAGTAAAGCACGGAGATCACACCTGCGGGGACAGGGACAGGTGAGGCAGGGGCAGGATGTCCCTTGTGCTTGTCACATCCCCACCAAGGGCCAGCCAGGCTGTCCACGTCACTCAGAGCACCCTCTGTGCTGAAGATGCACCGTGGAAAACCGTCCACTATGGGAAGTGGAGGTATCCCAAGCCCAGAGTGGGATTTTCAGCCTGGCAGGTTGAGAGGGCTCAGGGAGGGAGCTCCTGGGCACCGTGTCCTTACCTGGGCTCTTCTGCAGGTGAGATATCCACAACTCCAGCTGTTTAATGCTAAACAAGACAAAGAGAACCCAAATTAGAGCCCCTGGGACAGCTCCAGCCTGCTGTGGGGCTGGCAGGGTTAACACCACTCACTTCAGAAGGCCGAGGATGAAGGCGTGGAACTTCTGCCTGCTGCTGCTGAGGGGGGCCAGCCCGGCCACGTGCCAGCACAGCGAGTGCAGGGAGCGGCTGCTGGGGCCTGTGGGGTGCAGAGCACACACACTCGGTGCCCAGGGCACAGACAATGCCCAGGGCACAGACATTCACTGATCAGGGCACAGACAATGCCCAGAGCACAGACGCACTGCCCATGGCACAGACACTGCCCAGGGCACACATATACTGCCCATGGCACAGACAGTGCCCATGGCACAGACAGTGCCCAGAGCACAGACATTCACTGCCCAGGGCACAGCAGCACTCAGTGCCCATGGCACAGACACTTACCCACCCCAGCTGGCCCAGGGCACAGCAGCACTCCAGGCACCTGGAGATGCCCCCACCCTCACCTGTCTTCACCGAGGCTTCCACCACGCTCCAGGGGGAGTTTCTCCTCTGGCCTGTGATAACATCCTTCTGGAAAGGCTTCAGCCCGTCCTCCACCAAGGCGCAGAGAGCAGGGCACAGGGTGTGCAGCAGCAGGTAGCCCACGTCGGGGTTGAGCCGGCTGTCCCCCAGCTGGGCCTGGGGAGAGCAGGAACACGAGGAGATGGGAGGGAGGGGAAGGGCAGCACCCTACCCTGATTCCACTGGGAGGGATGAGGGAATCCCAAAATCCTTCCCAGCTCTCACCTTCTGCACCACGTTCCGCGCGGTGCTGAAGTGGGCGATGACCTTGTCCACAGCGGAGCTGACGGCGACCAGCAGCGCTGGGGACGAGGGAGAGGAGGAGAGAAGGAGAGAAGAAGGGAAGGG